CTGCAAGTGGGAGAAACGAGGTTAAACGTCACGTCGTCTTGGAAAAGTTATCCTGGCCACAGTGATGGTGTTTTGTTTTGTTTTTGTGTGTATGTGTGTGTGTGTGTGTGTGTGTGTGTGTGTGTGTTTTCTTTTTTTTTTTTTTGCTTTTTGGTTTTTGCTTTGCGGAAACGGGAAGGCTAGGCCCTTTGCACGGGGTAGCGGGTCTTTCTCCACCTAGTCCTAGCTCCGATTTTCATAGCCGCCCTCCAGGGTGAAGTTAGGCACTCGGGGGCTTGGGCCGGCAGTGGGGAGCTGCGGCTTGTTGGCCTCAGACGGGACACGGAAAGCCTGGAAGGGACTTGAAAAGGCTGCTGTACCCTTGGTTCCAGCTCTGTCCGGCCCCCGCCGGGTGTGGGGCAGAGTGGAGGGTGTCCTCAGATAACCAAGGGCAGGGGCGAGACCCCGCTCTGCCTGCGCGTTGGGTGGAGTCCTAGGAAGGGGAGACCTGGGCGGACAAGCAGCTCGAGGGATGAGAGGTCCGAGGGAAGTGCCTTTGGGGTGGGGGCCAAAATGCGGGGTTCAGGGCAGCATGCGGGTGACGCAGGGGACCAGCCCCGGGAGGGCCGGCTCATTGGGCCTCTCAGAGAGGTGGCATTGTCATCCCAGCCCAGCTGCTTGTTAGCTGTGACTTCAGGTGCTTTTTAGAAGCCGTCTGTAGAATGATCGTTGAAGTACTCGCAGTGCGGGGCTGTGGGAGCGTAAACTGAGGCGAGGGAGAAACGCATTTGCACAGTGCTCGGTCGTTGGTGCGTGTCGTTGGTGTGTGTCCGCCGCCGTTAGGGCAGAGAGGGGTTTATAGGGGGCCCTGTGGCCCGCGGGCACCGAGTGTGGAGGGCGAACAGCTGTGTTGGCTTTGTCTCGAATCCTAAGACTTCGCGTTTATGGAGAGGGACCGTGTTGGAGGCCGCGGGCCTCCCAGTGAGGTTTTCAGCGAAGTGCACTGCCCGTGTGGGGCCGCGTCTGCGGGGCTGCGTGCGGGAAGGGCCGGCCTGATCGGCCTGATCGGCCGGGTCGCCGAGGATGCGGGGTTACCACTTCGTCTGTGATTGTTACAGGCCGGTGTCCTCCCGTGCCTGGAACTGACCAGCAGTCAGTCCTCAGCTGGGCGAGGTCTGCGCTTATGGCTTCCCTGGTCACCGGTGTGAGCATGAGCCCAGGCGAGGCTGTGACGGCCTGCTTTCTAGGCCCTCGTCAGCCTTGGGGGCCGGCAGCTGTCAGGGTAAGGTCAGCGGAACACATTCTTGGGTGCTGGTCCAGGGGCTGGAGGAAGACAGCTCTGAAAGGGACAAGCTGGGAGCTGCTGCTGCCGCAGGCCCCAGGGGGGAAGATGTGTTTGCTGTCGCCCGGCTATGTGGTGCCCAGTTCCAGAGGGACACCAGTGGCCAAAAGGCCTTAGGATGCAGTTCAGGTATCTGCGCGCGTGTGCTTTAACCTTAGAGGGTTGTGGGTGGGACACCGGAAAGTGTGAATTCTTTAGTACTTCCTCAGCGGGGACACACCGCCCTGCCCCTTAGAAAAGTGCTGCTGCTTCGGCTGTCAGGTGCCAGCCTTCCTCGGGGGCCTGTTCTCAAGGCGGTGACTTAGGACGCCAGAGCTGGGGCCGGGCCAGCCGTCCGTCCCTCTGCGCATCTGCTGTGAAATGCACAGAGGCCGAGACCTCGACTTAGCGGCCGCAGCAGAGACCCCCCAGACGTCCCCCACTCTGGTCCCCTTCTCACTTACCCGGCCCTCCTGTGACGGGAGCCAGCCGGCGGTGTGCGAAGGAGCTTCAGCTCCTGGACGCCTTTTGTGTGCTCAGTGCTGGGGCTTACGCTGGCCGTGAAGCCTTTAACTGGGTTTCAGCCTGAGAGAAACTAGGGAATGTGTTATTTTCTTACCGTTTTTATTAATTAACACCATTCAGTGTCCACTAAGCACTTTGGAATATAGTTCTCTTATGTTTTAAATGTTTGTTCTATTTTTAAGAAAGTTTCTTTGCATCGGTTGTCAGGTGACAAAGTATGGACTCAGCTGTAGTAGCAAATAGTGCTCCCTCCTTCTCCCGTGATCAGCGTCACAACCAGAGCAGGTTACGGATGTGCGATGAAACCACATCTGTCACTGAAGGGCTCCACGGAGCTGAGCGCGGCCTGATCTTAGCTCGCCCTGCTCTGCGGCAGGGCGTGCTGGGGCCTGCCGCCCGCGTCTGCTGGCGCTCCCCGGGGAGGCGCGTGCGGCATGTCGCCCGCGTCTGTCTCCCTGCGCGTTCCCTCTGCCTGCACCGAGCAGGCGGCTGAAGTAGGTGCGTAGTCATTTTCCTTCTTTCTTTTTGTTTTTCCGAAGAGTAATTTCTAACTTGCAAAGGGCCGCCGCTTCTCGTGTAGCTGCCTCTTTAGTCCTTGGCTCTTCATTCTGGACAGCTGATGACAGGGCGGTGGCCTTGCCACTGGGCAGAAAGCCACCCCCAGAGGAGAAGCTGCAGGAACTACGTCATATCCCAGGGGTGTGCGACAGCGAGGGCCACCCAGCAGTGTTCGGTGGTGTGGGTAGAATCGGCCTTATCCTTCACTGGCGACTAGGGACATTTGTTTTAGGACGAGAACAGTGTGGTTTACATTTCCCCCCACAGAAGACATCACCCAGAAGCTGGGGCTCACTCACAAGCCTCTAGGGGGTGCAGGAGAGGAGACACACTCCTCCCCTTTCTGCCTGGTGGCAGCAGACCGGGCGTGGGGGGGAGCCCTGCCACCGGCCCTCATGGG